GGGGGTAGAGGAAGCATCTGGTTCGCCTATTCAGTTGCCGCTGATGATCGGCAAACGCCATTTTTTGTTTGCTGTGTATTTGTTCGTCGGGCGAGCTATCCCGCCCCTGGTTTTTCAGCCCCACAACAACACAGAACAATGGGACACATTCGCGGGGCGATGGCCGCTAGCCATAGCGGCCACTAGCGATATTGGCGTTACGAACGGCCAGGTCTACGCAAATGCATCAGATCCAGCTGAAGTCTTTTCCATAGTTCTATGGTCGGGTCGTCACTTAGAATTGTTAGTCGTACGTTTTTATAAGCGCTTATGCGTTTGTGCGCGTAACTTGGTGAACGATGAAATCCAACGAATTTCTCGCTTCGTGCAGTGATGTGTATCCCTGCCATAAGTTTGACTGTCAGTTTGTTCTTCACTCATCCTGTTCGATAACTTTACATGCCTTTTTAAATTTTGTTCCGTATGATAGTTACCATCATTGACGTCGTCAACCGTCTTTTTGGAACCACGAAATTTGCCGTTGAGCTTCGCCCCGTCATCCTTGTCGGGCTGGGCTTTTGCCGAACGTCGGCCCTACCAACGCCCCGTGATTCTTCTCGTGTACTTAAATCTCCATTAGCCATGTTTGTCTCGATGTACATAGCAATATTCATTATTTACTCGTTTCCTTACCGCTCCGAGTATTACTTTATTTTTCTAATAGTTTTCTCTCGTCGTCCAGCGATCAGTGTTGTTTCTATCTACTATTGTATTTAGACTGTGCACATCTGTGCGCTGAATTGCGCCTTTTCATCATTAAAATATGAAATTTCGAAACGCAAACATCCAGGTATATAATAGTTACTGCAGAATTGCAGATCAGTATCCTGGTCACAGAATCGCGTACCGATGAAGATCGGTCCTGTTGGACTGCAAGCATCAATCTCTTATTTGGCTATCGCCCGAAATTTCAACTGCTGTTAACATCCATAGAGTATTCAGGGCACTACTTATAATCAATCAGTAGTTAGGGCGATCTTGAGGCAAAATGCTTAGGCATACACGATTCATTTGGGCTCCATTTCATGGAAAAAGGGAAATCGCCCATGTTTAATAGAAGCTTTATTGTGTCTCATGGAGAACTGTAAAAAGCGCATTTTGTCAATATGCAATTTTACGCAAGCTCTTTGATATTAAAACAGAATTCAGTGTCAATCGAACCGCATAGTGTAAAAATTCAAAAGTACCGCCATTTTTCACGTTTAAACGAATCGAGTTAAATACCAATAACAGGATATCGTACTAAACTGGCGCATAAGAGTGAAGATATATTAAGGAAAATATAGTAAAGCATAGACAAATAATGAACTTGTCAGCATGTCAGGCATCAATCAACAAAAAGGAAAAATAATTTGATTTTAACATTTTCGTCAGTATCTCTGATGCATAAGATCAGGTATTTGTTAAGGGGTATGCGATGAGTGCATTGACAGGCGACCATAACACCGGTGGATTACCCTCTCTGAGTAATCCATATGCTCTTGGCTAAATGGGGGATTCTGTTAGCTAACCTAACATCGGCTTCTAATGTATAGCCTGAATCCAGGCGAAGGTTGGAACTTAAGGTACATCCGTTTCGTTTCGAGGAAAAGTGATCGTATCAACTTCCCTTAGAGTCGAGACAGCGTAACAAAGCTAACGCGTAAGTACCTAAATACAAAACCCTATGGATATGAAAGCGTCAAAACATAACAAGATATGATTGACATTCGAGAAATATCCATCACACAGGGTACATCCGATCTCCGCCTATATATATGCAAAATATTTCTGTGGTATCTGTCTGCTGCGCTCTTACAAGATGGCGTTTTGCGTAATCGATAATGGCTACCAGGACCATTGTGAACAGTCCTGAAGTCGTACTCGCTCGGGGGCTGCGTTTAGATTTGTTGCGCTAGATATCCCGTTGCATGGAGGCTCTAGCGTACACACCCGGTGACCTCTTAGCTTGCCGGGGCCTTCAGGTGAAGTGCTAAGTTTGAAATTCGTAAAATTGCTAGTCATGGTAGACTTCATTACAACCCGGACATGAATGTAGCAGTCAAAACAGCAGGACCATGGAGACCTTATTCGCCTAATCATTATTACGCTAACCCCGTCATATAAACGGCTACGCAGCGACTGGACTGGTTGGCGAGTGAGGAAATAATGAAAAAAAAAAACAGACAGACAGAAAAGGGCAGTTGTTTAGACAGCGGAATACATCAGGTCCGATCGGAAAGATCCCGCCTTTACAAGAGTCAATTCCCAAAACCATCGAATTGTGTATACGGCAGTTATGTTATGTTGATACTTCGTGTCGATAAAAGAATGCGTAGTAAGCATAAATGCAGCGACTTGATTGACGGATCCTGTTGGTGTGCCCTTGCTCTACGAAGGTGGCGAAGGGTCAAGCCAGCAATAGGGTTTTAAAGAAATGATTGAAGAATGATGCATTTGCTATGGTGTTAAGTATGGCCGTTTTCGGTGAGTTATCGGCCAGCTAACTGAAGGCCAACAGCACTCTTGGGAGCGACCTTATTGGATTAACTTTGCAAGAACCCATATGTATTCGAGCAAAACAGCAGAAGTCCAAATGCTTCTACTATCGTTATGTGGAGTAGATGATAACAAATCTCTCGCGCTTAGATTAGATTTAAATGTCTTCTGGTCATGGTAATCTGTCCACGAAGATTTACATACAAGAGTACATATAGTACCATGATTGATTTCTATTAAGTATTATAATTACTGTTATTATTTGTATACCATACATACCAGCAAACATAATCATGACAAAGAAACTACAGTTTCGAACAGTTTCCGATCAGCTGTGATAGTTGTTTATTAAGGGGTAGGAAAGAATGCCAAACGTCATGAATTCTGAATTCATCCGATCAATATTAGTCTACGAAAGTATCTAATCGGATCAGAAGATGAAAAGAGGAGCCCCCTGCCATAGCGGGTTCGTCAGGTGTTTAGCGTATCGAACCCCGTGATAGCTTAACGGGTAATGTATTTGCCTGCTGATCTTGAAGGCACGTTGTAGCCTAGGGAAGACAGTGACCCGATAGAATATCTAACGGCGATATCGGCCGTAAGAGTTCGAGACATACACGTCTTTAGTGTATGCGTGTTTATTCACGTACAGGTCTATTACGAGGTCGACCATTCCGAAACTATCCTGTATCTTGCGTTCAAACTTTGTACTCAAGTTCGAGCGCAAGATATATCTGGTGTAGCTGTTTGCACACTGCAGTAAATCCAAGGGAGGTGTGGGTTCTAAAGATACTAACGCGACCCGGCAGATTTCAAGTAAAGCTTGCACACTTGAATTTAAATATATCCACAATTGTGTGATAGTAAAAAAGTGCGCCTGAATAATCACACCTATTAACTGGTCGTTGGAAAAGCGATCACCTTATAAAACACAGCATGTCAATAGTCAATAGATTCTGACTGGACGTTCGAAGGTATTCACCCCGTGATGCTCAACCTCATTTAGAAACAGAATTATCATAAATCGTTAGCCGCAATGCTGTTCCGTTATCATTGGTTACGACTGAGCCGTCGTATAATGAAATACAGTAACCCATCATTGGCAGGTGGTTTCGATATTTTCAGTCAATACATTATTCAAGCATCGGGATAATGCCGTAACTATTGCCCGCCAATCCCTCTGACCAACTACGACCGAAGAGATACACCCTCTGAATTTCCTATTTTGATGTTATTAGTATTTATATAAACAAATATTATAATGGGGGTGTTTTTTAAAAGCGATTGGAGGCACCAAGCGCATACTAAGAACAGGAAATCTTTGAAAATTGATTTCTACAGATGGTTCCGCTATTAAGCATCACTTAAGGCGAAACATGATTGCCCGATCACATTTCTCCTTCCCAGGCCTCGGTCAGGCGTCTCCAGTGATTACTTCTGCTATCGTCAGTCGTCGATAAACCATGATGTCGTCGTATCTACTAATCAAAGCAAACAATCGTTAATGCAGCGCTGGACATCGTCGAGGATCGTTAACTGGCGAAGCGAAAGATGTCGAAGAAATACATAACATTGCATAGCCCGGCATGAAAGCAGGCTGACAAGGAAAGATGTTCATTATTTCATTGCTGTTGCACGATCCTTTTGCCGAAGTCTGCTGGCATTAGTAGCAAATGATGATTCAGCATGATGTCGTCATAATGGTAAACCCAAAAAAGTATTAAAATTACACCATGGGGATAATTCCCTTGTCCGTTTTCTGCGTTTTTGTCAGATTTTTGCCCGTCACCTGCAGATCATCGTTACCTTCGAATCGACTGGACTATCCTGGGAGGGATAACGTTGAAACTAATAGCTAGGATAAACTCCATCATCGGTTTCTTCTTCTTCTTCTCATGCCGTCCGTTGTTCCCTGTCTGTATCGAAACGACAAGGCACCAAAAGCGAAAGAAGATCTAATCCAGACTGTTACATGGGATAAGAAAAAGGCAGTCCAACGAAATCGCGCAGTAGCTAGATTTGGAGTTTATTGGCATTGTACTTTGTACTGATACTTGTGAACTCCATACGCGCTAGCCCTATCGGCACACAAACGTGCATGATGCATGGGATTGACATTGATGACAACCATGGTCAATAATTACTATAGCAAACGTAAACGTGGTTGGCTATCCAGGCCGGTCACCTGAATGAGTTGTTGTCAAGTTGTGCCCTGTCGAAAGTTGTTTGTTTGTGACGAGGCTTGATCTTTAGTTTCGTCTGTGCCTTGACAATCATTGAATAATTTTCCCAGCTTTTAGAAAGGGTTATTATTAAGTAGTTTGATCACTTTTGCCATTTAAGCATTTTTTGTTAGTCGGGATCAAAGTTACCGTTACGTAAGGACATTCAGTCCGGTGTGCATAATGTTTAAGGAAAAGAGCAAAGAAAAAGAAGTTTATATATGAAAGCCGAAATTTTGCCAATATATGTATCAGACCAACCTGATCTTGTGTGAGTCTTTCAACAGCATTGAAGTCATGCATAAGACTATCGTCATAATCGAATACAGGCGACGTTGACGCTTTGAGGTAAGTTGTGCCACAACTTCCACTACCGCCAGATGGGGTCAGGGTCGCTAAAATGGGTGAAAAACAAAAAATGCTAGATCAACGAAAAATAACGTTTACTTCGAAAAAGGATACGTCGTAGTATTTTAACACACACACACACACACAGCCGTATCGTGATAGAATAGAATTTAAATATGCTCACGAAATATAGGTGGATATTTAGCGTAAGGTAAGTGAAACAGATCACCTTGTATGCCTGACAATCACGAAAAGTTTCCGTTGATCGGGTCATGAACCAACCTGCACTGTCCCGACAAATACTATATAGAACGTTTGAAACTTTGGCAGTAACTTACGATCACTGCTCGTCGAAGTGGTCGTCACAAGGCTAGCGGGGTCTTCTCGAGCTCGAACCGCTTGCTGAGTGAAGCATCGCATGTTGCGGGTACACAGTTTGGCCAGCTGTAGTTGCGATGCGCATAAAGCTGTCGAAAGTTTTTCGTATTCGAGTGTTGCCGGAGCGACAGATTCCAGTTTCAAACTGAGCGCGTCAAAGTATCTGCAATAGAGTGTATAGATACACTTGCTGTTAAACTTACCGAACGCATATTCAATGGATCAATAGCAGTTTTGACCTTGTAGAACCTCAACAATCATGCCGGTATCTTTCTAGATAAGTAATTAGCGAGAATTGAAACATTGATACGCCTACGCAAATTATGTAACTAAGATATAGGGATGTATAAGCATATATGACAACTCAGACAACAAAGAATTTCATTTAATTCCACCGGTAAGTTTCGGCCGAGTAGGCCCATTAATGTGTTACGAAGCCTGATAATTTAGTTTTTTTTTTTTTGGGTAAGGACTGTTACCACTTCTGTAAGCGTCTGGCACGGTTCGCTTCTAGAAGCGGGTCACAATTGATCGATCTCTCATAGAACGGTGTTTGTTGCGTGGACTCAAACATGATTTATCTACGTGGTTTATTTTTTTGATCATATCAATCTAACACAATTGATTTATATTGTATTCATTCAAATAGTCATTTGCTGTAGCCGCTGGCCAATGCGACCTTATCCAAGCAAAGGAGCTGCATTAGTCAAAATAGCAATCAACGTTTTTTATTTACTGCTACTGTTTCAACAAATGCAATTAATGTGTGGAAGTAGAAAAATATAGTTGTGATATAAGATGCAACTTCCAGGACAGGTAAAATTTCCTAAGTTAGAAAACTCTCAACTCAACCTATACCATGGGAATGTATCAACAGTTTGTGAAAAAATAGCGGCTTTCTTGAAAAAGAAACTGCGTTGAAGTTTCAACTTAGAGATGCAATGGTTAGGGGACGAAGGACTTTTTGCGAGGAAAGGAGTTATTGAACTGATGGTAAAAGATATTGACGGTCGACGATAATTTATAGATTTGGTAAAAGCAGAAACCTGCTTACCAAAAAAGATAGACTAAACACTACTTAGAAGATGATGCCTCGTTTCAATATATATCTGCAACACAAACGTGCATGTTGACATAAGGCGTGCAGCGGTCGATCAAATCAACGCTCCACCAGAGGAGATCTTGCTCAGTGACAGCTGGTTTACAATAATTAAACCATCAACCACGGACTCGAAGAGAAGTCTACGTTGGACGTGCCATTGGTAAAATTCTCACCTAGAACTGTTGTTGTGCATACGTGGTCCTCTTTATCGACTAATCCGATGTACTTAGGACGTATGTTTTAAACAGACAAATTCCAAGGACCTATTCTAAGTGAGCTACTATTGCGGGTTGCTCTTGGATATCGTCGACTAGAATAACGTCAACCATTTATAGAGAGCAAAGACAGATGATATTTATTGACCAGAGCAATTATTTATATAGATTGCATAGGAAATTGATTGCATGTACGAGAACGAACACGACTTCGTCGGATTATCCTCGGATCAGGTAATCATTTTACATGCCAGGACAAAGTACGCTCGATTAAATCGCCAGTGTTGCTAAGCAGAAATCTGGCCAGGCAGGCCAAGCAGACTAGAATGTGCCTTCGCTACATCCATTAGATGTTAAAATATATTGCATTTCACTTACATAGCCCAACGTGGTGGTCAATAACAGAATAGTAGTACATAGGTACACATTTAGAAAGTCAGAACATCCCTCAATTTCATTATTGTTATCAAAACGCTTCGGATTCTAAGCCTGGCCATCATGAACACGATTTCATGAGATTTTAGGCATACGATCCTCCAATGGAAATCTATAATCCGCAATGCATCCTCAATTACCTGCTATAAATGCGCTTTCGTTCAAGTCGTTCATGAACACCGCTAGGACTATATAAAAATCGTTGGAAGCCACTATAGGCCGCGCTGCATGGCTGAGATACGGCCCAGCCCTACATGATCACTTACGAATTGCTAAGCTTCAGGCCATATGATCATTTCTGTTATTTTAGCCGAAATTTGAGTGGTTATACCTAGCCCGGAAATAGGTACAACCTTATACAGAGTAAGCAGAGCATGTCTACGATACTTACAGTCAAGTTAAATTCAGATGCATGGACTAACGTTTCGATTTTCGCGTGTGGTATTTTCGCCGTTTGGCATTATTAGTGCAGACGGCTGACCCCCCGACACGAAACGAAGTGTGTTTACGCCGAAATTCGAATTTACCCCGTGTACCAGCTGTCATTGGACCACTTGGGAATTACCAAACGTATGAATTAGTTAACAGTCGACCGCTTTAAAAGGACTAAACTGGAGACAAAGTTAAGGGGAAATCCTGAACTACTGTAATTTTCCTGCGTATTCTACACCTGCGTACGTGTGTGTGTGTGTGTATATGGTCGCTCCAGAAGACTAAGCAATTTTAATAAAACTTTTTTTTATTTCATCATACATACCCTGCCGTTAGTATCGGGACCCAGAGCTTCGTAGTAACTATACAGAAGAGGCCAATTTGTACTACTGGTGGTATTTCTACAGTAGACGTCTTTACAAGCTCCGTCATTATTCTTTCCGCATTGAAGCGCTGACATAGCATTGTGTTTTGCCACATTGTTTCTCAGTCCCCTAGGGAGCACCCAGCCCTTTTGAGACTCTGAACTCTTAGCATCCTAGAAAGTTCCGAGAAGTAGTATTTGGATGTATTAACGTTCCTGTAATTTTGCTTTGATGGATACTTCATTCATTTTTCCACTGCTTAGTGCAAAAACAGGCCCCTTATTTATTATAATAGCTATCTAAAAACGAGCTAATTATACTAAGGTATTATATATTATAAAATATATAAGGTATTATAAATCGTTCGTTACGATTTTTTTTATGTTTTATATTTATATAGAATGTATAGTACACTGTAGTTGTAGCTTCTCGGCCAACTTTTCTGAATCCATTTAAGTCGGAGCAACGGTTCCTTTACAATCATAGCGTTCGGTTAACTTCCCGCCAGCCAAACATTCACGTCATCACGCGCCTTGGGCGCGTGCTGACGTGATGTCGGAGCGACATTTCGCCCAAAAATGACATTTTCGACCACGGGACGCAACAAGCGACACCACGTTCATCAACCAATCAGGGCATTACACCACAAATGAATCCATTCCTTTATAGAGACCTGTGTCCAGATATACACGCATATCGAGACGGCCGTATGGTTTTGGCTTATTGTTCGCAGATATATATATATAATCGTTTGCAGGTTACGGCTCGACCACATGTTGAATTCTTTTCAACTGAAGCCGCGGTTTAAAGGCCAACCCCATTCGATGCGGGAGGAAATGAAAATAGATAATGACGTAATTTTTCTTGTGCTTGTCATGGTAACTATCCATGTATCACAAACATTTTACGGCGACGAAGTCAAGCAACGCTCGTCCGCACATTTCGTCCGCTGGTTTTGCTATGCCCCGTAGGCAGGGAGAGGCATTAAGAGCCAAAAGCGGCACCAATTTCTCTGTAGGAGTCGCACAATTTCACCATCAGTCGTTCTCGTTTGCGGATCCCTTAGTTCTAAAGGATGCAGAAAAATCAGAGGTGCAAAACACTTTATTAGGAATTTCAGTTAAGAAAACCTAAAAACGATTTCATTTCAAGCATCGTTTTGATGGTGTGCATGTGATTTTTGTACCTGATATTTGGTATCAGCGCCTCAATTAAAACATAAAAAAGAAGGAGGCTGGAGAGCGAAATTGTCGTCTACATTCAGTCCGTAATTTTTACTAATTATTTTCAGTCCTCTATGGTTTTCTGTACATACAACACACAGAAGAAGGTGCATTTATCTACAAGTAAACATTTGCTAGCTGTTTACTCCAAATCGCATCTAGATCATATCTGCAACCTTAATTAAAAAACGAAAATAAGACGAAAACACGAGGCATATAAATACTGTAGTGTATAATAGATTAACAGGGCATTGCGAATCGCTAGATTGAACCGAACTAGCAAAATTCGTTTTTGATAGTGTTGTTAAAAGATACGAACATTCAAAAGACTTCTCACTCGGGGTGGTTAATTTACTTTGAAAAAAAACATACTCAATTGAATGAAGTCTCGCTTGAAGGCGGCACTTCCCGATGACTAAATTCTATAATACTTGACGAAAAAAAAGCGACTGTCGCACTATACCATCCGATCAAAGAAGAGACAGATAAAATCATGGCTTAATACCGAGCGCTACAATCTGAAACACGTAATAGAGTAAACCCTTGAATTTTCAGTTCTTGGGCACCAAATGAAAGCGTCTTATAGCAGAATTCGGCGATATTATGCAAACATTCTATGAATGGTAACACAAACGTTTCAAGGGTAATAAGAACATTTGGTAATTTCCGAAGCTGGGCACTAGCTGATGAGCTACTTTCGGAGGTTTTCACCACTACTAACGTTTTACCACTGATAACAGTTCAAGCTGTTGCATGTTTCATAGGCTATCTGTATTCGCAAAAAACCTCCATAGAATTTGCGAATAGGCATTGACGTTGGCGAAATACTTGCAGCCACTAATTTGTCAAAATTAACAAGATCTGACATGCTCTGATTATTTACAGCGTGTTCGTGATTTTCTGCGGAGCAGAACTGAACAGTTCAGCCGATGCTTCTAGGCGAGACAGGTTTTAGATAGCTGGCAAACGTGTACCCTTATTGTTACATCAGAAAGTAGAAAACTTCTTAGCTTATTTTTGCGGCTAGGCGCAGCTGTAAAAAGGCAAATTACCGGCGTGGCCGTCAACACATACGCTTCATAACTGTTCTGAATACTCGAATCTCCTTTCCAAACCACAATGCGTACGGATTTATAGAAAAGGCCGACACTTCGATAAATTGTGCATCCTGTTGCCAACAGGTCTTTGCTGTATTTAAAGTTTTATGTCGACAAAGCCACCTGGAAGCTTGCGAACCAAGCAGGCCACAACTTTCACCTAGGTAGACGTTTTAATCTAAAAATCGCGTCTATAGTTAGCTAGGCCATGTAATTCATTTGGAACCTTCCCCGCACGAGGTTGTTCAAAGGGCTGGGCACGCGTTTCACTCAAAGGGCATCTTGAAAACACATCGCAATAGATTTGTTTACCTTGTCGCCCGCTCCTTATTGAGAAATTCCTATGCCGGGAGCTAATGAATTATTCTCGTCTTGCTTTCAACTACTCTAACAGAGCTACAAGAAATAAATCGATTTCGCTCAAATCGATATAAAACACACGGTTTCTTAGGGCGATGAACTACCGCGCCGAAATGAGATATCTTCTGTTAAACTTTATAAGTTAACATTTAACTTATTGCTATGTTGGAACAAGGCCTTCTAACTTTAGTGTTAAAGCGATGCGTTCTGTTAGGAAGCAGTGGCCTTCCTGTATGTTCATCATGACACAACAATGAATAGCGCCTTTTTTTACTAGATTCGATACTGCAGGTAGTGATAAACAAACGAAGGACAGCACCCGACCAAAACTTTTTTAGCCGATCAGAGCTGGTCGTTGTCCCGCTATTGTTTTAAATATCACGTAGTACTGCTCTAGCCAGTGGAGATCCCACACTTTTCCGTGAGCGTAGTTCTTGATGATGCATTTGTTCGATGAACGCTTAACAACGAGTGAAGCATATACTGAAGATGTTTTGAGTAGAGGGTAGCAGAATCGGCGTGCGTCTATAAATAACCATATTCCCGATTACATGCAGAAAGTCTGTAACCTCTATAGTGAGAAACGACTGGGTTACTGAGCTATACTATTCGTTTTCCTTATTTATTGAATCTCGGATCAGTCAACACCTTAAATGATAAAATACTTATCGTCCTACTACGAGCGACAGTACGATTATAACAGTAGACAACTTGCCAATCCGATCGACCGAAAAGGTCATATAATCGAGATGTTGAGATGCGCTACTACTATCTCCTAAACACCTTTCTATTCGAAGCTTGATTATCAACAATATTAACGATATTCCTTACCTTTGTTCCACTGCTATCGAGTTCTGTAGAGCGTGAACAAGCTCGAGGAGCGATGGAACATCCATTGCAACAACAGCGTCTTCAAACGCCTCATCGTCACCTTCGAGGAGCGCCTGGAGGGCTCGTGGCGATAATGGTGTGTGTGTTGAAACGTGGGAAATTGGCGACATCGAGGCGCAAGACGACACCGTTGACAAGGTAGAACTGAGGTAGTTAGGAACACCTCCAGCCGAGGTGGCCGCGGGGCCTCGAGGGGCGCTCGTCAGACTCGACATTCCTCAGCTTCCACTTCTAACTGAACAGCGGACAAGGTTAAAGAAAGGAATGGTAATGAGGATGTCAGGGCCGATCGACGCTGTACAACTGCAAGAAACAAAGTATAAATTAGAGCACTGTCTAGAATAATCATATGAGTTAATTAACTGTAGACTGTCGATCTAGATATATGGCATCTTCATCAAGTGGATAAGGGAAATGAAAAACATCTATTACTGATGAGTGGGTAATTTATCGGGACGTACCTCAGTAACGCCCTGTAACAACTTTGCCAGTTGGGCTGATTAAATGCACATTACTTATTCTCATTTAATTAAATATAGCATGGCGTAAGATATGGATGCTTAAGCATATGAAGAATGATTACGTCGGAACATCAAAATTTAGATTGGTCCTATCTAATTGTTAAGTGGTATTCTTTATGGGGTTTTATGACAGCAAAATAAAATGATACTGGAAGATGGGGAAGTGGCAGACCTTATCTCACCTGTGTCCCACTTACAAAAAATGAGCATCCAGTGCACAAAATAGAAAGTCTCCATGAAGCAGGAATAACCAGTATCAAGCGATATTCATGTATGACGGACAGTTGGAGCAAGTGATGGGAAAAACAGCATCACAGGTGGTTATTGCCAAATTTGCTAATAAATGTTTAACAGAAAGCCTGCACCTGTACCCAATCGTATGCTAATTATGATCTGAAAGGTCAAAACATTACGCCTGGCTCTGTACACAATATCGCAAACAGAAATCAGTAGCCTTACTATAATATAATACTGTGATGCAAGCTGTCCACTGACTTGCTCCGATCCAACTTGTTTATTCCTTACATCTAAAACTTCAGAACTTGTGACAATTTTGAAAAAACGAGCGAGCGAACTTCCATCATCTGTCAATTTTTGACCGTGTTCACTTCGTTGAATCTCCTATAATTATGTAGAATGTTATGAATCAATAACAACGACAGCTTTAGCAGAGGTCATTCTTGTAGCTGCTCGTAACTGCCATCGATGACTTATTATTCTATCAAATTTTCCTATTCGTTCAGAGTCCTACATGACCTGTCCAACATTATAGTTTTACGAAAAGCTCGAACAACCGGGATCATGGTCGACATCGAAATTACTATCGGTTGATTCAACGTGCATTGACCCCCGTTAGCATTGATTTAATAGATTCGTTTTGAGTCTAGCCCGCCAAAAAAGGGCCGTTATATCTCAATATATATAAAGAATATACGTATGACAAATACAGGCGCGTATTCAAATGTTACAAACGCCAAACGGGGCCACGCGTCATTGAAGAACCAAAGGCGACATTCTTCTAATACCACGACGCGTTGTTCCCCCTCGGCCTGTGTCATCCCTGAGACATGCCAAGTTCCCAAAAAATTCTCCCCCATATTCTACCATTTGCTCAAACTATTCGTATTTTAATTGGTAGTTTTTTTCCATCATCACCTACGATTACACGACTTAAACGAGCCTAAACGGGTCATAGAGGAAGAAAAAAAACAAGCAAAAACAATAACTATCCAGATACAAAGTAGTAGTAGTAGTAGTAGTAGTAGTAGTAGTAGTAGTAGTAGTAGTAGTAGTAGTAGTAGTAGTAGTAGTAGTAGTAGTAGTAGTAGTAGTAGTAGTAGTAGTAGTAGTAGTAGTAGTAGTAGTAGTAGTAGTAGTAGTAGTAGTAGTAGTAGTAGTAGTAGTAGTAGTAGTAGTAGTAGTAGTAGTAGTAGTAGTAGTAGTAGTAGTAGTAGTAGTAGTAGTAGTAGTAGTAGTAGTAGTAGTAGTAGTAGTAGTAGTAGTAGTAGTAGTAGTAGTAGTAGTAGTAGTAGTAGTAGTAGTAGTAGTAGTAGTAGTAGTAGTAGTAGTAGTAGTAGTAGTAGTAGTAGTAGTAGTAGTAGTAGTAGTAGTAGTAGTAGTAGTAGTAGTAGTAGTAGTAGTAGTAGTAGTAGTAGTAGTAGTAGTAGTAGTAGTAGTAGTAGTAGTAGTAGTAGTAGTAGTAGTAGTAGTAGTAGTAGTAGTAGTAGTAGTAGTAGTAGTAGTAGTAGTAGTAGTAGTAGTAGTAGTAGTAGTAGTAGTAGTAGTAGTAGTAGTAGTAGTAGTAGTAGTAGTAGTAGTAGTAGTAGTAGTAGTAGTAGTAGTAGTAGTAGTAGTAGTAGTAGTAGTAGTATAGTAGTAGTAGTAGTAGTAGTAGTAGTAGTAGTAGTAGTAGTAGTAGTAGTAGTAGTAGTAGTAGTAGTAGTAGTAGTAGTAGTAGTAGTAGTAGTAGTAGTAGTAGTAGTAGTAGTAGTAGTAGTAGTAGTAGTAGTAGTAGTAGTAGTAGTAGTAGTAGTAGTAGTAGTATAGTAGTAGTAGTAGTAGTAGTAGTAGTAGTAGTAGTAGTAGTAGTAGTAGTAGTAGTAGTAGTAGTAGTAGTAGTAGTAGTAGTAGTAGTAGTAGTAGTAGTAGTAGTAGTAGTAGTAGTAGTAGTAGTAGTAGTAGTAGTAGTAGTAGTAGTAGTAGTAGTAGTAGTAGTAGTAGTAGTAGTAGTAGTAGTAGTAGTAGTAGTAGTAGTAGTAGTAGTAGTAGTAGTAGTAGTAGTAGTAGTAGTAGTAGTAGTAGTAGTAGTAGTAGTAGTAGTAGTAGTAGTAGTAGTAGTAGTAGTAGTAGTAGTAGTAGTAGTAGTAGTAGTAGTAGTAGTAGTAGTAGTAGTAGTAGTAGTAGTAGTAGTAGTAGTAGTAGTAGTAGTAGTAGTAGTAGTAGTAGTAGTAGTAGTAGTAGTAGTAGTAGTAGTAGTAGTAGTAGTAGTAGTAGTAGTAGTAGTAGTAGTAGTAGTAGTAGTAGTAGTAGTAGTAGTAGTAGTAGTAGTAGTAGTAGTAGTAGTAGTAGTAGTAGTAGTAGTAGTAGTAGTAGTAGTAGTAGTAGTAGTAGTAGTAGTAGTAGTAGTAGTAGTAGTAGTAGTAGTAGTAGTAGTAGTAGTAGTAGTAGTAGTAGTAGTAGTAGTAGTAGTAGTAGTAGTAGTAGTAGTAGTAGTAGTAGTAGTAGTAGTAGTAGTAGTAGTAGTAGTAGTAGTAGTAGTAGTAGTAGTAGTAGTAGTAGTAGTAGTAGTAGTAGTAGTAGTAGTAGTAGTAGTAGTAGTAGTAGTAGTAGTAGTAGTAGTAGTAGTAGTAGTAGTAGTAGTAGTAGTAGTAGTAGTAGTAGTAGTAGTAGTAGTAGTAGTAGTAGTAGTAGTAGTAGTAGTAGTAGTAGTAGTAGTAGTAGTAGTAGTAGTAGTAGTAGTAGTAGTAGTAGTAGTAGTAGTAGTAGTAGTAGTAGTAGTAGTAGTAGTAGTAGTAGTAGTAGTAGTAGTAGTAGTAGTAGTAGTAGTAGTAGTAGTAGTAGTAGTAGTAGTAGTAGTAGTAGTAGTAGTAGTAGTAGTAGTAGTAGTAGTAGTAGTAGTAGTAGTAGTAGTAGTAGTAGTAGTAGTAGTAGTAGTAGTAGTAGTAGTAGTAGTAGTAGTAGTAGTAGTAGTAGTAGTAGTAGTAGTAGTAGTAGTAGTAGTAGTAGTAGTAGTAGTAGTAGTAGTAGTAGTAGTAGTAGTAGTAGTAGTAGTAGTAGTAGTAGTAGTAGTAGTAGTAGTAGTAGTAGTAGTAGTAGTAGTAGTAGTAGTAGTAGTAGTAGTAGTAGTAGTAGTAGTAGTAGTAGTAGTAGTAGTAGTAGTAGTAGTAGTAGTAGTAGTAGTAGTAGTAGTAGTGCCAATCAACGAAACGGGGGCTTCATTTGTTAGACTCAGCGAAAGAGCCTTCAATGGCAGGCGAGCTACTTTAGAGGCTTATATTCTCCCTTTGAATTAAACAATTCAGACTAGCCAGGCACATGATACCTCTGATCGTCCGATGAGGAGCGTTCAGGCCAACGGCACAACGACCACCCTATAGCTTTGTAGGAGAAAGAGGCGTATATATGCTTCTACCGCTGCATAAAAGCTCTTTTTTTGTTATCTTTCGTTTCTTTCCTTTTTCTCCGCTATTCTCTTGCTTCGCTGGTCGTTATTCGTTCTCCGTCGTGATTTCCTGCCCGATACTCGCTCATCAGTTATATGTGTTACATATATATGTTTTTTCCTTCTTTGTTTTTACATTTTTAATGCAGTTATAGCAGCAGACCGATTGCCGCTTTAGTATTAGTGCAATCGGTTAATAATCGGTTGCGTCAACAATCTAAAACGACAGCAACGATCAATGATAATAAGATAATGTTGTTTTGTATGACAAATCCAAGCGCGATCGGCAACAACGTATATATATGCATGTATAATATTAGTTTTATATACATAGTACATCCGTAAGAGCGCGACCAGCTTTCTTCATTCGTCCAGCTGCTTCTATTTTTGTTCATGGATTTGTTGTGTTTGTTTGGTTGATCGGACGTCTGGCGTGTATGTAATGGCGTAGAGGTGTTTCACAATAACCATACTCAAGCTTTTAAGCGATAATTACTAGTAATTGCTCAGTGAGCAACGACAGGAAAAGTTGCAAGATAACAATCGCATGATGGAGCTAACTGGAAATATCAACAAGGATCCGAGGTCAAATGAGACTCCTTAACGTTCGTCTCCGCTACATGCGGTTCCAACCTGAATAACACTGCTATTCCAATTAAACCTCGCTAAAATAAAGGCTTGAAATCTTCACGCAAGCCAAACATACATAAAGCTTTCATACTCATATGTAGTCTTTAAAGGAACCAATAGCTTATACGCATATAGATATTAGTACATGAAGTATTTCAATCGTGTTTAGGTTCAACTTTTTACTCGTTGAATCTATTTCAGAAATTGTCCATTGCATAGTTAAGCCTCAAAGAGCTCGATCCGACCTTGGGTCATTGTTAATACTCACTTCACGATCACTGGATTGCTATCCTTTAATATCTCCCTTTCGATACCTGGTAAACAATTATCTGTAGTCTTGTCTGTTTCTCTCTAGGCGACTCAAGTATGCTAGATGAGTAATATTAAGACATTTCCATCATACTCAAGATAATCCTCAACCCACCCCAGTTTGTAGAGTTGAAGCGATAGGTCCGTCCGAACACGAAAATGCAAGCATCATTCCAACAACG